GGAAGTCCACTTTTTTTAATTTAGTACTAACCGTAATTTTTAAGCCCATGCTTTTAAATTCTTTATATAATAACTTTCTAATTCTATCTATTATGAAGTATGTTGAGTTTCTAATAACCATAAGTCCATCGTCTCTGTACAAAACAATGTCATTTGTATCAATATCATAGTGCGCTGTAAGGTTGTATAATATAAAAAGACCAATGAGATCAGAAGACTCAGCTGAGTCTAGTGATCCCATTGTGATGTCAAATTGGTCGTAAAAATTCTTAATCCATTCCTCACCTTTATGTATAAGTACCGATTTTTTCGCATACAGAATAATGTTCCTTTCTTCATCTGTAATATCCGTATAGTGGGTGACAAAGTCCAACGCATTGATAAATAGTTCTTTGGAAATTGATTGGTAATAATTATCAATATCAAATTGTATTATGTACAATTGTTTTTTCCTTTTAAGTGAGTAAACGAGTTTATCACTTCCTTGGTATTAATCCAAAGTTTCAGGCTAATTTTTTCCTTAATTTGTTTATTTACCCTTTCAAGGATCATTTTACTTATTTTTCCGATCTCCGGTCTCATGGGATTTATTATCCTTGTAGTGGGATTAGCCTCAAAATCTCGCTTATGGTCCTTTAAGGTTATGTAGCATTCTTTTTGATCTAGTTGACCTACCCTATCACTGATCATTAGTTTATCAGTGATTTCCTTATTGCTAGTATTGATATCCCGAACTGTTGATGTCATTATTATTCGCTTTCTTGTAGTTCTTATTCAAGTCCTTATTTATTAGGTCGTCGTATTCCTTTATGGTTGTTTTATAAAAGTTTCCAGTTTTATCGGATTTTTTAATATATATATATATATATATATATATATTTACGTACGTACGTACACACACACATATATATATATATATATATATATACACACACACACACACATATACACAAATATATACATATATACACCCACATGTGTGTGCATGCAAAAAACATATCAAAATCCATACTTAATTACCCTATTATATCTATATTCTTCAATATTATATATATGAGCTCACAACTTCTTATATTTATACATACATACATACATACATACACTATCTATGGAACGACATACATGTACCCATCTATATATATATATATACACACCCACACATACATATATAGAAATTATAAAAAATTGTATACATACACATCCACACATATACATGTACCCACACATATATGCATATAACTACATATATTTAAAAAAAAGAAAAAAAAAAAAACAGATCACCTATATACATAGAAGTATATATACATACATATCCATACCCACCCACTCCAAATGTGTGCCCACAATACACAAAAATAACACATGCATGCCTATCTTTCCATATAAATGCATATACATATCAAAAAACGTATCAATGTTCAAGTTCAATTACATAGTTATATACATACAGTTATGTGTTCGTACTTATGTGTGCATAGCAACATTTCCAAAAACAAAAGACGAAGATCATGTAATATTAGTCTTCCTATATAGTTATTCCTAAATAACACTTTCAAAGTAAAACAAAATAACAGCGTCTACAAAGAAAATTAGTGACACCTTCTCTCATAACTTCCTTCTCTCTTTTTCTCTCTATGGGTTTTTTTCTTCTCTACCCCTTCGATATCAATATATAACTTCCGTTAAGTTAACCGTTTAAATGTGTCAATATCTGCTAACTCACTCATGTCTTCTCTCTCACCACTCACTTTGTTAATTTACATATGTTTAATACGGCCTGTCAAAAATGTGTAAATTTTCTTTTCATTTTTTTGTTTGGAAGTAAAGTTTGATGATCCGCAGTCCTTTAAAAGGGCTGTGGTGAAATAATTTATTACATGGAACGTTAAAGTAGTCTGTTTTTATTTAAATATATATATGGATTTTATCCTCCTTGGGTCTACCCATATGGATTACCTAGTTTTTCATATATATATATATATATATATATATATATATATATATATATATATATATATTTATATTATTTAATTTTGATTGATCAATCAAGGAATACAATTCCTTAATGGACATTTAAATTCATAAATAATATTTCTCCTCTTTAATTTTGTTGTAGAGGTGAATTTATTTAACTATGAAGGTTAGAAGTTTAAATTTTTTGATAATAGCAAAAAAAAAAAATTAGATTAATTATTTATTGCATAAAATACATAATATTAATAGCTGGACAATTGTAAACAAGGTTACCCATCTGTTAGGGTGTCTAGTCAAACCCTACTGTAGATGCTTGCTCAGGCACATTTGTGTTTACGCAATACCCACAGAGCCTACCTGTGGTTTATACTGCAACTATGCTGAGTAGACATTAGTTACAGTTTCTGGGAGAGAAGTGTGTTATCTAGCTTGATCAACAGTCTGAACAAGGACAGCACATTGAAACCTGCCATCACAATAGCATGTGACATTGTGCTAGTACAGCTATCAATAGCCCCCAAGTGTTCCACCTAGCCAATTTCACTTACAAGGCTTGGGTCAACACATGCTGGGAACCTCACTCCAGATTCCAGATTGATAACATCTTGAAGTGTGTGTGTGTATATATATATATATATATACACACACACACACACACATACACCATGAAACTGCATCAAATTTTTTTTTTACAAAACTGAAGTCATTTGGCTTTTTAAGAGCTATCACTACTGAGAGACCATATCCAAAGAAACACTATTGGAAAAAGATTTCAGATGTTAATAAAATTAAATTTTATCAACATTTATACCATTGTAAGAGAGAAAGATTGAACAAAAATGTTAAAAACATGAATGTGAAATCATTTTGTTTACAAAAGAAATGAAGACGAAAAAAAAAAAGAAATACATGATTTCTGTAATGTATTTGTTTCAGTTTTCAAAAAAAAAAAAGAAAAAAAAAGAAGACTTTTGCGGTAAAATTAAGTTGATAACAAAATAGCGAGTAAAAATAAAAAAATAGTTTCATCTTAATGTTAAATTTTATGAAGTTTTCTAGTAAGCAAGTACGTCAATCATGAAATAAAATTGTTGCAAACAAAAAAAAAAAAAAAAAATGAATGAAGACTTTTTTTTTAATAAATAAATTTGTTTTGTTTTTTTTTATCTAGGGAATGCACCTAAATTAAGTAAGAATAGTTAACAGTTCTTAATTTCACTTTTAAAATCTGTATATTTCCAGATATGGGAGTCTCTAGTGTAGTAAAATGGTTTTCTACAAAATACACGTGGAAAAAAAAAAAAAGTATGTTTTAATGTCAGTTTTATATGTAAATATTTTCCAAACTCCAAGTCATTTTTTAAAACCCGAAGCAAAAATGATTCTTTTTTAGCCACTAGTCCGTGTTAAGAAGTAGCTTCAATAATTTGAAAGATCTTTTATTACCACACATTCATTATCATCAGTTTGCATTTTTTTTGCTTACTTTATAAGTTTTGAAGGAATTCGCTTCCTTGGGTCAGAGAAGAAATGAACATTTTCCTGGTTGTAGTTTAAGGTGTCTTCTAATTGAGTGTACAATTTAAAGACTAGATTGGTCACTTTGATTTTGCAAAACAAATTAACGTGAAAAATTTAGTCTAAAAAAAAAAAAAAAAAAAAAAAATCAAGAAAAAAAAAAAAATCATATTTCATGTTTTCAGCTGGTTCAAGCAAAGTAGTTTTCTCTATAGAAAAATAATTGAATGAAAAGGCACATACAAATTACATATTTAGAAAGATTATTTTCTTACTAGCCATATGAATAGTTTTAAGATTTGACCAGAAATACACGAGAATTTATGAGCTGAACGGACTAAGTTGCAAATTTATCAATCACAAACAAAATCAGATATCAACTAGAAATGCCATCATTACACAAGAAAATGAATGGCTTCCTTAGAAAGCAAAAATACTAAATTAAAAACTGAATTGAAAACCGATACCAAAACATAAATTGCCAAACCGACCAACTCTAATATATATATATATATATATATATATATATATATATGTATGTATGTATATATGTATATGCACTATATAAAGCTAGATAGCTGTTAGCTGAGCATGACTATTGCTAAATTAGTTATTGTTAGTCATGAAACTTTTAGTAACTGCTGTAATCAGAAAGTACACACACATATTCATACATAAATACGTGTGTGTGTGTATGTATGTATGTATGTATTAGTATATATAAGAACAATGTTTTCTAAAAAGTTATGTTTCTATAAATGATTCACCCAAAACATTTGAGAAATTTTTATTTTGCTTATTTATTGGCAAAAGATTAACCTAAAAAATTTACTTTTTCCCAATAACTAATAGATGACGCAAAACAACATTCCAGTTGAAAGAGAGATTACAAAACTTGGTTATGTGTTTTAATTATGTCCCAAGTCAAACAGTAATGTTTTACCTGTCTAACTAATACAAGTAATTTATCTTTTGAAAATACTTATATAATAAGGAAATCATTACAAATCTATTTTTTTTTAGAAAAGAGCTTGAAATTGTTTTACACAAAAAAAAATCCTCATTTTAGTCACTTCTAGTGAGAAATTCATCTGTTTCAAATGTTTTTATATCTACATTTTTATCAATAATTACATTTAACATAATATATTTTTTCCCTATAGTTTAGTATAAAAAATCTAAAGATGAAACAACTGAAAAAAATTACAGAAGATTAATTTTATGATTGCCTAACTGCAATTCCTACCTTTTGCTACAATGCTATTAAATACCAATTTTTCTTACAGTGCAGTGGTGGCGTTTAAGCTGTCAGCAGAGATTAACCGTTACTTGGGGAGGTGACTTATCTTTAAACAAGATTAAATGTCAACAGGCAATGATAAATGAAAAATTAAGTGCTGAATGACAAGATATGTGAAATAAAAAAAAATATGATTGATGAATATGGGCTTCCATACATTTTTTGTCTAAAACAAAAAAACAATAACAAAAAATACTGTGCAACCTACAAGTAGTTGAGATGTAGTTGTCGGTGCAGTAGACACATTTAATTCTGGATTTAAATGAGACACACAAAGGACCAACCGCTTGGCAGGGGAGTCGTCTCTCTCAATTATCCTTCTCAGAGCAGGCCTGAAACAAACAGTTGTTCATATATGAAAGTACAGAAATATTATGATTGTGAATCAAAACATTCCAGAGATGACAAAATGTAGACAATTTAATGCTTTTAGAATTTTACAAAATTATTTTATTGAAAACATGTGTATATTGGTGATGTGTGTGTGTGCATATATATATATATATATATATATATATATATATATATATGCCATTAATCCTTTAGCAGGTTCTATACATAGGCCACTGTGAGATTAAAGGAAGTGAGGGAAGGAGGAAATCAGCCCTTAAGTTCTTTTATCTAAAGCTAATGATTAGGGTTATTTGTGATCATAACCTTGAGATTGTTTATTTTATTTATATAGCTATTTATTATCTTATTTGTTTTGTATAATTCTTATTTTATGCATTTTTCTTTTGTTATGTACAGTGCCATATCGATTTTGCTTAATAATCATTGGTGGTAGATTCTAACTACCTTGCTTTTTTTTTGTTGAGTTGAAGTGCTCTTTGCATCACAACAAAAAGCAAATTCGGGAAAAAATAATTAAAATCAACATTAAAACAAATCAAAAAGAGGTAGACTTCTTAGATGTAACTAAACATCTGCAAAAGTACCTATCAACTATTCAGAAAACTAAACACCAATACACTTTACCCACACAAACATGCACTCTTCCTCCAATTACCCAACTAACATAAACAAATTCTACTTTCCATCAGCAGCACATTATGCAACAACTCATTGAATGAAAAAAAAGAAAAAGATAAAGGCCTTCAGGAAAACTTATATTTACACTAAACAATGAAAAAGAAAAATCCTGTATTTACCAATGATTTGTTAGAAAAAAAGATCCTGAAAATAAATGAAGGAATGGAAATAGTCTTCATAGAATATGTGATAACATTAAAAGGTAAATATGAGAATGAAATAAAATCACAAAATATAAAGATTTGTTGGAAAGCATTCAATAAAATGACAAACTTAGAAATACCCAAAGATCTATAGAAAGAGTAATTTCAAGTGTAATTTTAAGATATAAACAGGATGACATTGATCAGAAAACAGACCAAGACATATAAAAATGATGAGGATGAAATAAGACCAATCAGAAGGTGGAAAGATGAAGGTTTTGTTAGTAAGACAGCAGATAATTATAATAGCAATCATGGTCATCATCAAAGAAATTGGAAATTACCTTTTTCCAGCAATGGACTTGTAATGGCTGATGACCATTATTATGAATGGATTTGACATTTTCAATTTTCAAATTGTTATTCAAGGAGAAGCATGTTGAAAAATAAATAGTTTCATAAATTGTAAATTATTTATATATTAATATATATCAGTGTGACAAAAATGGAAATATTAAAAGAAGAAAAGTATCACAAAAAGGTTTGGATATCAAAAAAAATTTATAACTGTAAAATAGTATTATCAAAATACAATAACAATTACCCCCCCCCAAAAAAAAACAGTTAAACTGATTTATTGGTCCTCTCATCAGAGGAAAGGCCGAGGACAAAAATGTGCAATATTAACAATATTAATGCTGAAGACATGTTTTCATATATATATATATATATATTATAAATTGATTTATTTAAAATATGGTTTTTTTTTTCCGCTACACAGTTCTAACCATATTTCAAAAATGAAAGCTAAAAGCTACAAATTTAATTTTGTAATTAAATTAAAGACATTAGTTCCATTTCATCCTCAAGCGAATTTTGGAGTAAATTTTAAAATTACTGGGTTTTAAAGACACAGCTAAAATCATAATTCATGTTTCCAAGAATATAGAATATTATAAAGTAATATAGTCTATTAAAACTAACAATGAAAATATTTTAAAGTTGTAATTAAAATTGTAGTTAAATAAAATGAATTCTAACCTAAACTTCTTTTACTTAGTACTACACGCACTTAAAAGAATCCAATAAAACACTTACAGTAAAATAAAATTAATATGAAATGCCAGAAGATATAAGCTTTTGAATGACCCATGTCCTTTGTACATACATGAGAAACAATATATTACTAGGTTTATATAAAAAATAAAAGTTTACTAAATCACTAAAATTAAGTAACTATTTTTGCCGTCATTGTCATAAATTTTACTTAAATAATATTTAAATAAAAAAAAAAAATTTTGTAACCTAATATACATACTTATACTTGATGTAAAAATAATTCTACATACTATAAGGGATTCTAATACATTTAATTGTTCTTAAAAAAATATAGTATAATAAAAATTAAAAATGAAAATATTTCAAATCGTAGTTAAATAAAATGTATTCTAACCTAAACACCCCACAAAATTTTTAAATATACAAATAGAAAAAAATGCGTAAGAATTTTTGCCTTTAACAATAAATCTAAAAAAAAAATCCAGACGACATGCATTCAACGGATGTCAGATTTCATTGAAAAATACATCCCTACCCCCTACCAAAACATAACTAATAACAGATACAATAATACAGACATAATGAACACCCCTTGTCCAGTTGAAGTAGATTTATCTGTAACCTTGGAAATGTGAATATATGGCCTGACAATTGCATATAGCATGAAACAGACTGTCGCCTCTAAGTGTTGACTTCTATGTTCACTTATATATATATATACACACACACACACAGTCATGATGAAATTTCAAGAATATTTGTTGTTCTCTTAAAAAAATAAACCCTGAATTTCTGCATAGGTATTATAATTAAGACAACAGCAACATACGAGGGGAGGGGATCCAAAATTAACTGGAATTGTGTCATATAATTTTATTCATTTATTGTTGCATGTTTATATTCTTATCACCTTCAAAGTATTTTCCATCTGAAGCAATGCACTGGTCCAGTATGTTTTTCACTGTTCAGAGCAATCCTGGAGCTCTTGTCAAGTTATGTTTTTTAATGACTGTCATTTTCTTCTTAACTTCTCCCGCATCTGCAAAACATTATCCTTTGAGGTTTTTCTTCATTTGGGGGGAAAAGAAAAGTCAGAGGGGGTGAGATCAGGTGAATATGGAGGGTGGGGAAGTGGGGTCATGCCATTCTTGATTAGAAACTGTCTCACATACATTCATATAGTAATGTTGCTTAATATTTTGGTTTTATTTCAGATGGAAAATTAAACCATTTAAATATGTCCTATTCAAAATACATGTGTAAATAAATGAAACATTTTAAAAGAAACTCTTCTGGATTCATATTACTTTTTTTATTTTAATATTTTATTTACATTGCTGCAAAAAAAAGAATTCATTTCCTGGCTTTAACTAATTTCAATATTAAACAAACCAACTGACTTGTTTTAAAATAATACATAATTTAAGAAGTATCATTCAGATATAACAGTTATCCCCCTTGAATTTTCTATGTTTTTGTTTTCAGTGAAGTGCACCATTCAATGAAGCAACGATTTAATTTAATGGCTTCAATGAAGCCAGTTTTCACTGTTATGAAGCGGACCCAGTACCAAATGATATTCATTCAAAACAGTAAAACTGTATAAAGAGTGAAGCAGGTAATTGAGAAGACAACTTTAGCAAGTTATAAATGGAAGAGGACCTAATGTGATGTGATGTTAGGAGGCTGGTGCCAAATTTTCAATCTCTCATTTCTTTTAACATGGAGGCTTCCAATTTGACACATGAAATGGTGCACCATGCTCTGGCCACCCAAGTAGCCAGGTCCTACATTATTTGAGATCAAGGAATAAGCTAAAGGGTTTTCCAGAATACCATGAAACCTAAATCTAGGAATTTTACTTTACTTCTTACCACAGGGCTTCAGGGTTACTGTAACTGTATACACTGAAATGCTGGGTATGGTTGTCAAGACCTGGATTGAGAGGGTGATCCAGGGAAGGCTATACATGTTCAAGGACTCTGCTTCCTTCCATATGTCACAAGTAATCCAGGAATGGCTGACTGAGAATTATGATAATGTCTTCCCAATATGTGACCACCTATCTCTTCTTTGATTCACCTAGTAACCATGCAATGCCAAGAACTCATTGAAAAGTGCCATTGGATGTTATGGATAGCATGAATACAAATTAACTGATCCAGGCATGTACTTATTTCTGACGCTCCAAACAGACTAACAATAGTTTTAGTTAATCTTTTTCTCTTTATGAGACAGAAAATGTTCAACAGAAATAGTCCTACTTACAAACCACTTCTAATGAACCAAACAATTTAAGCCAACTCAAGGTAGCAATTGATGAAGGGCTGGTTCTGTTGCTGTTATGACTGGATACCAGGTTACAATAGTGTTCAAAGTACCATCATCTGTTTGAAGGTAATTCAATTGCGATGCAATAAAATATTGGACATAAACCAAATTTTAATTTATTTAGACTGGGATCAAGTGTCAGAATCAACAGAGGCTTATGCTTGTACATGATTTCTGTAAAATGCAAAAATGTTCAATGTTCAGGTAATGCTGGGTTCTAACAAGTTTTCTATAATATTAAAATTCTAATGGTGTTTTGGACATTGGAAAAAAAAAAGAAAAAAAAAAAAAAAAAAGACAGACATGCACAAGTTTTTCTCTTATAGTTATTTATCCAAACTCAATCTGTGAGGAGGCCTACCAAATGCATTTGATATACCAAAATTCTTGAAGCTAATTTGATTACAGGAAATTGTATTAGAAGATGGTGTGTCCTAGTTAACTAACTATTCAGTTTTTCTGAAACTCTTTAAGGGCCAATGTTTTGTTTTTCTAGAAAATCCAACAAAAAATTGTAGGAAATAACTGGGCAAAAAAATGTGCAATGTTGGCGGACATTTTTAGAAATGGATTAAGCTGGGATTGGCACAACCAATTGATCACCCAGGCACAAATAAACTACATTTACATTATGGCATTGGTTGTTGAGTTCTCTGAGTGAAAAGACAGGGAAATGACACATGATTGCAGTCACAAGAATGTCAATGCAGAAGCACTTGAGAATCACTTGGAATGATTGGTATTTGAATGCTTAATAAAGACTTGAT